CCATTGCTAACAAGAACACAATGATTGGAAGCGCTTTTATAGCAACCAGTCTGCTCTTACAATCTAATAAGTATGATAGTGATTAGTCAATTAATGTTAGCTGCTCATTTTGTGTCAGGATCAAAAAAACACAGAAATTAGTAATAATAATAATGATCTCTTTTGTGACGTTCTCAAAACGTTAGCACAAAAACATGATTTATACATCCTCCATAGAACCTTTCACTTTTGATACTTTTGTTGTTGTTGAAATGCTACTTGTTTCAGAACGTTCAGAAAACATTCAAACGCAACATTCCCGTGATGTCTGCGAAATGGAATGTTCCCTTAACTCTCGCAGAACCAAGAAAAACGTGTCTCTTTTAAACTGATGTTCAGAGATCATTCAAAAATAACATTTCCATAACCTAACGTCAGCAAAACGTTCTCAAAGCACATGTTTATAGCTGGGACAACACATAAGGTTCACACTGGTTTAATAGAAGACATTGATTTTCATTTATAAAATATTGTCCATTTGAACATACAGTATATTCATGATGGGAGATGAAGAAGAGAAACACTGGCGGATTGGGATGCAAACCCTGCGTCAAACAAACAAACAAACAAGGGTAAACCTGTGAAAAAGAATAAGACTTCACTGCATGAGAAACATGCCGATCCCAGAGTTATCTGCATCATGTGAGAGGTTTATGATTGGTATTAATTATGATTCAGAGGGCAGCAATCTCAGTTAGGCTCTACTAGTTTACGTAGACTATTCGTTTATGTAATGGTAATGGCCTGGGTCAATAACAAAAGTCGTAGCCTACAATATGGCCACCTTCCACAGCCCCTTTTTGTGAATATACTGTATGTGCAAAAAAGAGTGATTAATGACGTGATGCAGTGGTCAAATGAAAAAAAGTGTTTTTGCATGGAATAGATATATTATTCATGATATGTAAGTGCTTATAGTGAGATAAAGCGACTTTGTCTGGTGTGTTGATGTGAAGAAGCAGTGGAGCTGAGTATCTCTGGTTCCTCCCGGGCAGCAGGGGGCGTTGCGAGCGTCTGGTCCGCGCGGAACAGCCACGGCTTCTTCGCTCTCTCCGCTGTGTGTCGGTCTGTATGCTCGATGCTCTTCTCTCGGACTCTAGTGCTGTAGTGACAGTAAGCCAAGCTTCTCTCGCTGTTGTGAGCTGGACGGGTTCATGCACTGCTTCTGGAGGAACGAGCAGAAGTCTCACGTGTAGTTTCTCTCGGCTCGGTTCATTAAACCCGGCGACTGAGCGCGAAATGCGTTATAAACAAGAGACCGGGGCTAGTTGTCACACGGTGTCACTCTAGGGAATATATCAAAACAAGTTTAGGTATTAAAGTGCTTTTAAAACATTTTAAAGGCCAGTAAATTCCTTCTGGTGTAGAATGTTTTGATTTAGAATGTAAACATCTATTTGACATGCAAAGGCCATGTGTCGTGCGTGGTTCAGCTCAGATAGCCAGCGCAGTGCAGCTGAAACAGCTCGAGTCTCGTCCTCAGAGGAATACGTGGAACTTAGTTTGGATGCTTTCGCTGTAATTTTTAAGGTTTATTAATGTTGTGTGTTTTTGTCGATTTTAATAGTGTTTTTTAAACGTATATAAAGTTTTTACTCTTTTATTTCCGTTTTAGTTATTTAAAGAAAATGAGAAATGTCGCATTGCAAACTAGCCCAAGTAATTAAAGTTGAATAAAGTTAGATTTTTAAAGAAATGTTCATTCAGTGAACGTTTATGTCAAGTAACAAAAATGCATGTTTAGGGTTTGAGTTATAGCCCTGGGTGGGAGGGCAAGTGCCACTGATGCATTAATAAAATGTAGCGTATATGTGTTAGTTTATGTGAATGATGAGTCATGTGTGTGTTTTCCAGCGCTATCATGGTGAGGACGTACAAAAGGAAGACGACCCGCGCGAGTACGGCTCCTGACACCATGCTGAAGGCCGTCCGGCAGGTGCTGGTGTTCAAGAAAACCATCCGCGGCGCGGCAGAAGAGTTCGGCATCAACTACCGCACGCTGGCCCGCTACTGCACCAGAATCCCGCGCGAGGAGGTGGAGGGCAGCGCGGAGCACCCCAGCTGCACCGTGGGCTTCATCGGCGCGCGGCAGGTCTTCAGCCCCGAGCTGGAGGCCGAACTCCTCGCCTACGTTTTACTGGCGTCGGACGTTTATTACGCGCTCCCGCCGCGAGCGATCCGCAAACTGGCCTACCAGCTAGCCCAGAGCCACCAGCTGCACACGCCGCCCTCGTGGAGGGACAACAAACAGGCCAGCGCAGACTGGTTCGCCAGCTTCTTAAAGAGACACCCGCTGCTGTCCATCAGGAGTCCGGCGAGCGTCTCCAGCAGGAGTCACGTCGAGGTGTTTTACAGTAAGCTGACGGCGCTGACGGAGCGACACGGTTTCAGACCCGAGCACATGTGGGTCATGGAGGAGATGGGGATCACTACGGCCCAGCGGCCGGATCGAGTGCTGGCCAGGAGAGGCCTGAGACAGACGTCTGCGGACCGCGGACCCCTGGTGAGCGTCGCCTGCGCCGTCTCCGCCGCCGCTCACGTGATGCCGCCCTACTTTGTGTTCCCGCGGGTGCAGTTCAGGGAGCATTTCCTCAGCGGCGCGCCCGCGGGAAGCTCCGGCGGAGCCCATCTGAGCGGCTGGATGAGGGAGGAGCAGTTCCTCCACTTCCTACAGCACTTCACGCGACAGACCGACTGCACCGCGGAGAGACCCTGCCTGCTGCTGCTGGACAGCCACGCCGCGCACCTGTCCATCGAGGGCCTCAACTTCACCAAAGCCAACGGCGTGGTGTCTCTCTGTTTCCCGCCGCACTGCTCCCAGCAGCTGGAGCGCACGCTTTACGGCCCGTTTAAGAAGAGCGTCAACACGGCCGTCGACGGCTGGATGCTGGGCAGTCCGGGGAGGAGCATCACCATTCATCACGTGCCGGGAATCATTGCCTCCGCGCTGCCGCTGGCGGCCACACCGGACAACATCAGCGCAGCGTTCAGAGCCTGCGGGATCTTCCCTCTCAACCCAAACCAGCCGGCTCCGGTCGCTCCCAGCGGTCCAGCCTCGAGCGGTGACGCGGCCGAACGCTCGGCGGATCCGGCGACAGCAGGCCGAGACTCGGAGCAAACGGTTAATGCGCAAGAGAAGGACTGCCGTCTCGACTGGCTCTCCTGCGATTACACCGCTGCAGAGACCTGCAAATAAAACACAGCAGGACTCGTTCTTCAATAATAACTCGACACGCGATTGACCAGAACCTCTGCTTGTCTTTTATAGTCACACACGTTCTCTTTGCTTAGACAGTTTCTACAGTTCAGAGCCATCAACAACGTCTCAGTGTTTGTTACCTTCTCCACTGTTGCCGTTTAATGAATTGTTTTTGTGTAAATAGTAATTAAATGAGACACATTTTAAATGCATAAATTGTGGAAGATGGCTTTTTTTATACTCTAGAATCTAGAAAGTATTTTTCTCTGCTCTGACAACATGCCCCGCTATAGGTGTTTCTGTTTCTTGGGCAATAACTGAAAATGTTCCAAGGTGGGTAAAATACCCCGGTGTGACAAATATTCATCTGTGAATATTATACATCTCTAATGTATGTGATGATATTGCTGTCACAATAACTGAATACAAAGAGCTGCAGCTCAATGCATTTTTCTGAAAAAAGTCTCTTCTGCTCAGCAAGGCTGCATTTATTTGATCAAAAATACAGTAAAAGTAGTGAAATATTACTAGTACTACAATTTAAAACAGCTGATTTCTGTGTGAATATGTGTTAAACTGTAATGTATGTCTGTGATGTGCAGCTGTATTTTCAGCATCATTCCTCCAGTCTTCAGTGTCACATGATCTTCAGAAATCAGTATAATATGCTGCTCTGCTGCTCGAGAAACATTTCTGATTATTAATGAGCATTTTGTCCAATTTTATATATATATATATATATATATATATATATATATGCATAAGAATAATATAATACTTATAATTTCATGCTTAATTTACGACTTTCATTTTGGGTTTGATCAGTTCATTATAAATGCTTCTTGTAGTAATCATGCTGTGTGTGTTCAGATGCTGAGCATGAAAGCGCAGGTGGATGTGCTCTGCTGTAAATCAGTAGGAACTGATCTGTCCATGCTGGAGATTGAGGATTTCATCTCAGAAATCTGTGGGCTGAAGAAAGAGGTGGCGTCACTGGAGGCAAAGCTGAGAGAAAGAGGAGAGGTTTGAGCAGCTCTTCATCCTTCAGCTCCATCACTCAATGAGACTTCTGTTACACACCAAACGTCTGAGTCGTGAGGTTAATATCACCAGCTGGTTGTTTATTAGTGTTTATCTGTGATGTGTTCCTCAGGATCTGGAGCAGGTTTCGGTGCGCGTGGCTGACGGGACAGAAGCTCAGGATTCAGTCTGGAGCGTCAGAGATCAGAGATCCAGAGACACACAGGACTCGGAGCTCAGCCTCACTCTGCTGTGTTATACTGACGCTCAGGATCATGAATCCACTGATCAAACCTCTGACCGTAACGCTGGAGAACAGCAGATGCTGCAGGCGCCGCTGAAGATGTGCTCCGTCAAACTGCTGGACTGCAGGAACCTGATCGAGAGCCGAGGAGAAGAGACCACCGCAGAGGAAGAGGAGGAGGAGGAGGATGATGAAGATTTCATTCCTCCAGGTTTGATTCTTCCTTTTATGAGCTTTTGTAGTTTTTCATGGCGCTTGAATGTCAGCAGAGATTCGGGTTCATATTGGCTGATGGTCTCATCTGGTTTGAGAATTATTGTTAGTATTACATTATAAAAATATTAAATCATGAATGAAATGTTGTGCTGTTGTAATAGTGCTGTTGTGCTGTAAAATAGCATTACAAAAAATATGGTGAAATGGAGCTGAGAAAACACCATGTGATGAGATATGAGTAAAAATACATAATATATTTATTTTGATTGATCGTTCAGTTCTGTCAGTTAGCCTGATATAGACCGATATTACAGAAAT